TGTGTGTGTGTGTGTGTGTGTGTGTGTGTGTGTGTGTGTGTGTGTGTAGCTCCCATAAAGAATTTGGGCTCAGATTGGGAGCCAGTTTCTTTTGGTTTTGAACAATAATCTAATACCTTTGTTGGTGCCATGGCTTGGATTTTCAAGTTCATGGCTTAGATTCAAGGTTACTAGGAAAACATCAGTGCTAGCTCAGTTAGTGGTCAGGGCACACCATTGTTCCTCTTCATGTCAGCACACAGAAGAAAGTAGGAGGACCTGGAGGATCCTACAGAGACATGGGGCATGGGGAGGACATCTGAAGCAGAAAGGCAATCATGTGGAGGGCCAAGGGAGTGTGAGAGAATGTAAAATGGCGAACAAGAACCTGACACTTGGCCAGAACCAAAGCTGTGTATGCTGGGCCTCTCCTCAGATGGCATTTCTTGTTAAGGACCTGACACTGTCTTCCACTAGATGGGGACCTTTGAACATGTGAGGTTTTACAGACTGTGTGTGTTTGAGACAAGGCTTACCTATGTATCCTAAGCTGCCCTCAAACTCATAGCAATCTCACCATCTCCACCTCCTGAGTGGCTGGTTTGCAAGCTTGAGTCACCATGCCTAGTTGAATACTTTACAATTTAAAATGTATTTTTATTCTGCTAGAAAGAGAGCAAATTTTAGTTAGTATAGCAAACTATTAAGTTCCATAGATAACATTAAGACAGGCTAAAAATCCTATTGTCCTTTAGAAAAGAATTAAGACCCAGTATGGAAGAAATTGTAAATGAAGCACAAAATGACTAAAGTTTGAGAAATATTACTCTTTCTGTTTATTCTATTTTATTTAATTGGCTATATTATAACATCACCTTATTTAAGCAATATTCATATAATTAAGCAGCATTATAGAATAAATTTACAATTTAGTGATTATAGGTTATTGGCTTTTAGATTTGTGGGTTTTTTCCTATTTTCTTTTCTTTAAAAAAAATGGACTCAACTAGCCCATATGGCCTTGAACTCCATCCATAGTGGAGGGTACCCCTAAATTCCTAATCCTCCCCGCCGCCAGCTGCTAGGATTACAAAGAGAACAACAGCAACAACAAACCTGGAGCACTGGAATTGCAGGTGTGTCATCTCTCCTTCCTAGATTGAGGTTTTACCCTGGAATCAGAGCACGAGCCAACATATTTCTGTTTGTCAAAATAATAATACTCAGTATAAGACCTCCTGGGAATGTTATAAAAAGCTAAGTTCACTTATAAATTTGGGTTTTATGCAGTAAAAGCTCACTGGTAGGCAAACTTTCTTTCCACCATGAAGAATTTCATAATGAATGAAGGAATTTTTGACAACTTCCCATCTCTCTATGTTCATGTCTCTCCTGAGTTATGTGTCACCGGGAAAGGACTTCGGTCTGAGGTTCCCTCACATTTCTGCTTACCCAATTTCTCACGGCTGTGGATTTTCCCATGTTGTTTAAGGTATGCACTCAAGCTGAAGGCTTTCCCACAGTCATCACACTCATAGGGCTTCTCTCCTGTATGTGTCCTTTTGTGCCGATTAAGATGTGATCTTTGGCTGAAGGCTTTCCCACAAAAACTACACTGATAGGGTCTCTCCCCAGTGTGAAGTCTATGATGCTCGGTCAGGGATGTGATTCGGTTAAAAGCTCTACCACACTCATTACACTTGTAGGGCTTCTCTCCTGTGTGGCTTCTCAGGTGCTGCTTAAAGGATGAATGTTGCCTGAAGGCTTTCCCACATTCGTTACACATGAAAGGCTTTTCCCCTGTATGAATTCTGTGATGTTCAATAAGGTGCATTCTGTGGCGGAATCTTCTCCCACACTCATCACACACGTAGGGTTTTTCCACTGTGAGGACTATTTGAGGTTGGTTAGCAGTTGAATGTTGGTTGAATGTCTCTCCACATTCACCGAGATTCTATGGAAGAAGAGTACAATTAGTAAGGACAGCATTCTGACTGAAGATTTTCCAACACTCATTATAATCATAGGGTTTCACTCTTACATACACTCCATGATAACAAATCAAATCTGAATGATGTCTGATGCCTTTTCCTTGTGTGTCATAGCAGAGAGGATTTTTAACAGGATGGATTCTCTGATGCATAGGGTCTGAATTCAGATTCCAGTTTTCCTCAAACTTAGTACACCCCATGCTTCCCTGTGTAGCTTTTTGGTGGGTGAAAGATACCTGA